TGGTCGTATGTAACTCATGCATCCACAAAACTAGGTTTGAATCCGGACAATACTAATAATACAAACCATTTATTTTGAATGGCCAAAAAATATTTGTGTTGATGCTGATTAGGGGTGGAACGGATCTCGATATTCTGGAATTTCAAGGTATCGGATCCGGAATCGTCGGATCCGTGAAAAAAACTATCCGGATCTGGAATCGGGACCTCCGGATGCGGATCCTCTTTTCACGGATCTAGATTTTACTATATTTATCCGGATTCGGACTCCTCGGATATCCTAATTTTCGGAGCGATTCCGAACGGATAACAGATCGGTTCTCGGATCCTGATAATAATTCCACCGCTGGCACTTATGCACATAGCGAAAGAAGCTTTTCAAATCCGGTTCTAGACCAATTGGTTAGGTCCAGTTGTTGAGAAAGATTAACCATTTGTTGGATAACCGGTTATAAATTTAAAGCCCAAGAAATTACGATTCTAAGCCCGAATCGTTCTTTACGGAGTAATTAATGTTAAAGGAGAATCGTCGATCATAATTCATAAAGCAGAAAGGGAAAAAGAAAGTTTTTATCGAAGTCGAGAGATTTTGAGTTCCGATGAATTCCGGAGGAGGAATCGTAGCTGCAGCAGCTCCTTCAAGCGGCGGTGGAAACGTGGAGTGGCATGTCCGACCACCGAACCCTAAAAACCCAGTTGTCTTCTTCGATGTCTCTATTGGTGGNATTCCCGCCGGTCGGATCAAGATGGAGCTCTTCGCNGACATTGCTCCCAAAACCGCTGAAAACTTCAGGTCTCTTTTACTTCCTGAACTGACTCTGATTCGATTAGNTCCAGGTTCCATTGGTTTTTATGATTAGGGTTTAACTAAATCCTTCTCTTTTCAACTTTCAGGCAGTTCTGTACTGGTGAACACAGGTACTCCTATTTTTTTCTTTCTTGATTTTGCATCTTTGAATGTCTAAGTCCATTCTCTGTCTTCGTTTCCTGCATCTTGTTCTTGTTAATTCTGATTTTGTTGGATGCATCTGCTATCTGGAGTTCCTTTGATGTTGAATCCTGTTCTTCCCCTCCAGCTATTTTGTTTTTAAAGATGGGTTTTAAATTTTGTGTTTACTCGAGAGATTTATGAGGTTTTAGAGATTNTTTGGATTNAGAATGGTGTGCAAATTTCCATTTAGTCTTTTGCGCTTTCTGCTACTTTCATGCTTCAGTTTACAGCTTGTATTGTTTATGCATAGTTCTTGAAACTTCGTAGCTAAGAGTTGTTGATGAAATGCTTTGGACTGATTGAGAAATTTTTGGGTACTTAACCTAATCGTCTTTATCGGTTTTGGTCGGCTCTGTTGCAAATGCAGAAAGGTTGGAAAGCCTCTTGGTTACAAAGAATGTCAGTTTCACAGGGTTATCAAGGATTTCATGATTCAAAGTGGTGACTTCATAAAGGTCAGTGCCCTTTACATCTAATAAAGCTTTGGTTCTTGTTTATAGTTTTTAAGTAGTAATTAATCTGTCGCTTCTCAAATGCCACTGGCTTCACTTTTTCTTGTTTGTGTTATTGGTTCTGTGACTGAATCCCTTGTTTTCTTACTGGATGATGTTAAACTCTGCAGAATGATGGAAGTGGATGCATGTCAATATATGGCCACAAGTTCGATGATGAAAATTTTACTGCCAAACATACTGGACCAGGACTGCTCTCAATGGTATGCAATTGGGTTTCTCAATGTGTCCAAAATCTTGAATTATAAATTTGTGTACTACTCTCAGTGCTTGAATGTGTTGAGTCCCTTAAACTGTTCTTTATTCATGAGTCAAACTCTGTCTTTGATATAATAATACTCATGATCCTCATTGTTTTGTTGTAGGCAAATAGTGGGCCAAACACAAATGGGTGCCAGGTAATTTCAGTCTCATTATAATGGCCTATATACCTGTGCAATGAGACAAACTGTAACAAATATGTGAATAATGCAAGCTCGATGCATTCTGTTTTGACTATGATGCTAAACTTATATATAAATCTTAAAGGGTTGAAAAGAAGTAAGATATTATGATGTCTGGTTGGGCATAAAATGTTATCATTCAGGCTATAATTACCGTTTGCTCTTTGCGTTGCAGTTCTTCATCAGTTGTTCAAAATGCGAGTGGCTTGACAACAAGCATGTTGTCTTTGGGGTATGTCCTCTTGTCACATACACATATTGACTACGAAGCTTTCAATTTTCTTCCATTAAATTCTTAGTTCTCCCTTTGTGGTTATAACTGAGATTGTCTAATATAAAAAAAACTTAAAAGCCATAATTAGTTGAGGAAAAGGCATTGAGTCATGAACCTGAATGCACATAATGGGTAATATTGTCGTTATAACTCATTGAAAACCCTTCTTTTGATGTGCAGAGAGTGCTTGGAGATGGTTTATTGGTGGTGCGGAAGATTGAGAACGTGGCTGTTGGACCTACTAACAACCGGCCTAAGCTTGCCGTCGTAATTACAGAATGTGGGGAGATGTGAAATGGTTAACCATAGAATTTCCCACCAAAAAACTCCCCAAAGAACTTTTCTGTTGCATGAGGAATGTAGTGAGATCCAAAAAGCTTATTAGTTGTAAACCTTACACATTGTAACAGGATAATTTGGTCTTTATTTTCGATTTTTGAACCAGAAAACTGGGGACGAAGAGAAGAGTTGACAGTTTCATAAGTTTCTGCAAAGATGGAATAGTTTCACTGTGAGTACAGAAGGAACCTATCAATAAGTTTCTCTGCAACAGGTATCAGGTTTCGATACTGAGCACCCAGAATATTTTGCAAGCTTTCCCGTTCTGGTGGATCAACAACAATTATCCTCCAAAGAGGATTTAGAGAATTTCCAGCAACAGCAAAGAAAACCAGACAAAAATAATAATAATATGGTTTCCTGAAATGAATCTTATTTGCAAACAGCAATAAAATTGAATATTAAATATAGTACACACTTTAAGCGGGAAACAGTCAATTTGGACTCAAATAATTTGCGTCGTGCCGTTTTAGATCTCAAATTTTGACAATGGCTAATTTAAATAAATTTTGTCTATGGCTAATTTAAACCTGAATTTCAAATAAATTCAAATTTTATAACTGAACTAACATGTTTTGTGCCGAATTATACCTTGAAATATTGACAAAAACGACACGTAGGTTAGGTAGTTCGGTTTAGTTGGCTCAAAACGACATTGTTTCGTTGTTTTAGTAAAACAATGTCGTTTTCATCTAGAGAAAATTTGAAATCGAATCCTTAATTTGATAAATCCACAAATGAAAACGACATCATTTTATCGAATTACAGATTTAATTTCAAGTTTTCTCTAAATGAAAACGACATCGTTTTACTAAAACCACGAAAAAACGTCGTTTTGAGCAAACGAAACCGAATCAGCTAACCCACATGTCGTTTTAGTCAATATTCCGTTAATGTTGACTAACAGAATCTTAGTCAAGGTACAATTCGGCACAAAACATGTTAGTTCAGATATAAAATTTGAATTTATATAGAGTTCAGGTTTAAATTAGCCATAGGCAAAATTTCAAGTCTAAAACGGCACGACGCAAATTGTTTGGTCCAATTTGGCCGTTTTCCCCACTTTAAGCTAGGTTGGTTTACAAAAGGTCATATTAATCAACCACTAGATCACATTTCTGCTGCAAGATCACATATATCAATGTTGTATCTAGGGAGGATCAGACTAATGAATGCCAACAGCTAGGCTCTCAAACTAATTAGTGTCTGCAAAATATAATTTCCATGATGTGTGATACACTGCATTCGGGTGTAGATATGGTTGAAAACTCTCTGCTATACGTATCACCTGCAAAAACATCTTTTCTTCAGCCAGATTACAATGGAGAACGGAAACCACGTCGCCATCAATGAGCCGCCGCAGAACGAAAACTACGTCGCCATCAATATGCCACAGGCCACAGTTCCACCAATGGAAATCGATCGTGAAGAAGACAGAGGTTGGTTCGTTGGAGCATAGATACACGCGATGATTGCCGTTATTCTCTTGATCGTAATGATCTTCGTTCCAATTATGGCGGATATTGCTGCTCGATGGGAGACGGCCTCCATCGTCGCCGGCAACTCGACTCGCGGAAATTCTACCACTCCGTCATAGGCAACTCGCAGAATCACAAGTTGCGCTACTGTGCTTCGACATTTTGCTGGTACTTTACGTAGTTACTCACGCCGTCAAATTATACATATCACGCCACCACAAGAAGACAAAACTCTTCCTCGACCTCTTGTCGATTAGCTTTGCCATCGTTGCCATAATCTCGATCCTCGATGTCGCGTTCCCTGTCTTTGCTCCACGCGTGATAGCTCCCGTCGCCGGAATTGTGATATTACTCCGCCTCGTCTCCCTCCTTATCGGCGAGCTCATGGCCATAGATTTATTAGTCTCCGTCAGGCTCTTCAACGTCAGAGGAAAGCTATAATCGATAGTCACATCGCACGAGCAACTCTTGATGTCGCCAAAAAGCCGTCCAATCAGTCGATTTGTTCACTGATGCGACAGCTGTCGCCACTGCCCAACCCACGGTGACTCAAGCCCAAGCCAACGTGAATCGTATCGAAGAAGTTCTCACTCAAGCTGACTCACAAGTCGCCGCCTTTACCCTCGCCGTCGCCGCAGGTAGAGCTCAATAATCGCTGCGATTGCGTTTTTATCTATCTGCGATTGCATTTTCTTTTGTATCTTGTTGGGTTTGGATGGGTTGTTAGGCACAATATTCGTCCCTATAATGGCAGATATCACGGCTCGATCGGAGACCGCCGCAAATTCTACCCGCGGAATTTCTACTAGCGCAAATCCTTCTACCAATTCTCGATTCGCATAATCACAAGTCTATCTCCTATGCTTTGGCGTTTCTCTGGGGATCTATGCAGTTACACACACGGTGGAGTTGTACATACCACACGAGTACTGAATGACGAAGCTCCTACTCGACGCCTTCTCTAACACCTTTGCCGCGGTGGAGTCCACTATATAATGCAACTTTCAACAATCGCCCAAAAAAATATTACCACAAGGATCTGAAAGTCCACTGTATAACGACAGTTTCACCAATAGCCCAAAAAGATATTACCACAAGGATCTGAAAGTCGATTATATAACGAGGCTTTTAACAATAGCCCAAAAAAATATTACGACACCCATAACATAAAGACAATAGTAGAAGACATGTGTTAAAAAAAAGAAAAAACAGCAGTAGAAGACGGGAGATTGACATCTTCATGGCAAGCAAAATTACCAGGGTAATATGAGCTAGAATGCAACTAGATTTTGTGATTCTAATGTTGAAACACTTTTGGAAACCAAACGAGGCAAAACTCACATGACATATACTATAATATGAATCTATAAAACACCACTAAATGAGTTCTCTTTTCACAAATAACCACATAAGTTCTTTCCGACTAAGTTTTAAGAAAGAATATTATCATCATGATCTTGTTGCATCTCGTAGTTTTTGAAGAGATATTATATATCACTCTTCTTCACTTCAATAGTTTGATAAATTAAGGATTGACAAAAAGTAATGTCAGAGAATCTTAATCACAAATGATTGATAAAAATATATATACAAAGCAGTGAATCCAATTTGACAAATTGTACATGGCTAGTACAAGACCATAATATATGATTATATGTATGGTCATATTTTAAAAATTAATTCTTTAGTTTATTTATTATATTTTATCCTTAATATACTAAATCACAAGTCATTTGGCCAATCAAAATATGCCACATGACACATCTTTTAAAATTAAAGAATTAGTTTAAAAAAAAATCAACATCACGATCAAATACTTTTCACAAAATGATTATCTTCTCACCAGTTACTTCATAAAATAAAAATTGAAAATCATTTTCCATGCATCTTTTAATCCACGATCTCCATCTCTCCCTTATCTCTCGAGAAACGTTTTTCTGTTATGAACTATAAAATCTCAAAAACACACAACAATCCAAAGCCCTAACAAACGAAAAGTGAATGATAATAGAGCATAAGCTATGGATTTCCAAAACCAATAGAATTTTGTTTTCACCATCGAATTCTCATGAACGCTTGAGTAAAAAAGGGGGGATTTTGCTTCTATCCAAATTGGGTGAGTTTTGTATTCTCGAGCTTTTCTCATGTTGTTATGAGCTTCCTCAAGCGGCACGGGGATGATGATTAGAATTGATGCGGCGCAAGTGGTGTTGGATCTCAACAAAAACTAGAGGAAACTGGCGTTGAACCCACCATTAACAGAGAAAGTGGAAAGAAGACTATCGAGTGTGCATGTGAATGTAGTAAGTTCAACGATTTGCACTCCTAATAAAGTTCAGTTTAACCTATGAACTTAATGATGCTTCTGTTAATGTGTTCATGAGGATATCTATTGTTTTCCCTTATAAAGTTAGAGACTTATATTTTTGTATTTCACCATACTATTTCATTCTCTGCTCTGTTAGAGACATGCTTCTACATCATAAAGGAGTTGCAGATCGTTAAGTGGGTATGAGAGAAGATGTTCTACCTTTATGGCTTCAAAGAGACGTGTTGGAATATCGAGATGAAAGACAAAGAGAATTAAATTGACGACTTGAAGAAGACACCGAGACTTTCTACAACCGTTAAGAAGATTACTAAGTTATGTGATGAGGGAAATGTTGAGTTAATAAAAAAATATGTTTTTAACGGATTTTGGTTTTACTCAACATCTTTGTTAAGAAAATCGTAAACTTTCTTTTGTTTTAGTTAAATTTTATCTACAGTAATATGTATTCTCAATGAAGCAAAAAAATGAAATAATGTTTTAACCAGAAAAATGAAATAGTAAACTTGGATAACAAAATAGTGAAATATCTATAAACTGTGTTTTGGCC